CCTGACACACGGCAGGTACTCAACAAATACTCGTGGAGAAGACAGAAGGGAAGGAGAGAGGAAGGGAAGGAGGGAGCGAGGAGGGAGAAGGGCAGAAAGGAAGGAGAGAAGGGAGGCAGCGAAGGCAGCAGGTGGAAACAATTAGAGTCATAGCATCAGTAACGGCAGCAAGATGGGAGGCAGGATTGAGCGAGCAGGGACCACAGGAGAAGAGAGCCGCGCTCATCAACCGCAGGGGTCATCAGGGACCGCGGCCACGCGTGGGCAGCGGGCGATGGGGACGTCCACCCTGAAGTCAGCGCAGCCTCCGCGCGCAGCACAAGGACCTCAACTTGAGGACTTGAGGCCTCCTCTCCTGACCACTAAGAGGACCCTGAAGCCTGTCTACATGCCCAACATCTGCAGGAGGAAAAAGCAAGAAGTGCTCTGAACACCTGAGCCTCCGCCTAGAAAAGTGGACTTAAACTGGGAGAGAAAGCACGGATTGCCAAGCCCTTCCTCCTCTCTCTGAAGAGTCTGAAAGACTGAAGGTCTGAAACAAGACTCTATCAACTAGCGGAATGAACCATGTGTTTTTGGCACATAGGAGTAGTGGTACATAGCCTTTAAAAGACTAGGAAAAACTAGTGACAGAAATACACAGAATAACTGGCAGTGTTTGAACATGCTCTATTCTAAAAGGTCTGAGAGTACCCACAGCAAAGAGGTGTGCTGTCAATATTTTGGTCAGTTTTAGAAAACAGGTCTTTCTTAGAATTTTTCTTGCATGTGTGCTTACTTTTGACTAATGACAGCATCTACCGAACTAAGAGACACCAGCTGGTTTTTTACTGTGCTTGTGTTATTTTGACAAAACCTTGCTTTCGGTGAGTTATTATATCATTGATAGCATCTATGTCATGCAACATTATGGTTTGTAGCTTCTACTTTTAAAAATTAATTGGATTTTTAAAATATGTGTAAAATGAATGAATGGAACAAGTACCTCTAATACACCTTTTATTTAGTTACATTTATATTCCAGTCACAAGATGAATGATTCATACTATGCAAACACACACACACACACACAGTCTTAGCCTTTATGTGGAAAATCATCCTCTTGGCAAAAGAATTCATTTGCCTGGAATTTGAATAAGCTAGAAATAAAGAGTATTTGCTTTTCTGGAATAAATAAAAACCCACCTTGCCTTATGCATTTCCTTCTGGACATGGCAGGAAGCCTTTTCTCGGACAAAGCTAGTTGCTCAACAGAAAATGCCAGTGAAGCTCATTGTAATGGGATTCTATCCATCTGTAATTTCCATTCCCAGAACAAATACTTTCATCTGTTCCCACGTCTTCCAAAAGATTAGGACCCTTGGTGGTAAAGGGAAACATCTACAGATTGTCATCTCATTTTTGAGAGCCATTCAGAGAGAAAGAGACATACAACAAGCTGGGGACCAGAACAGATTGAATTCATAAAAAAGGCACAAGCCAAACTGTTCACTCTGGTTCATGAAAAATTATCACTGTTGTTAAAGCCATATGTTCTAGGTAAGAGGACAGGTTTTGTATTCACTGTGACATTTGTTCTGAGGAATGTTAATGTACTTAATGCTAGCATGTGCTTAGCAGCAATTTGCAAATTTGAAAAGTAACCCAGAGTTCAGAAAATGAGGAAGAAAGATAAGAAACTTCATGTGAGATATTTCTCAATTATCATTGTGTCTGAATGTTAGAGCAGAAGTGGAGACCCTTGACATTTGTCATCATTTCACTGCTTTAGGTATGCAGATTCAACCTTTAAAAGTTGGTTCATTCCTAAAAATATATATATATTTTTAAAAAACCTTTAAAATTTTAAAGCTGCTGTGAGGTGAAATTAGTAGAGGCAAAAGAACATAAATCACATTATTTCACTCATATGAGTCACCTAGCGTAGTCAAATACCTTGAGACAGAAAGCAGAATGGCAGTTGCCAGGGGTTAAAGGGAGGAAAGACAGGGGTTATTGTGTAATGGGCATGGAGCTTGTTTTGCAAGATGAACAACGTTCTGGAGGTGTGCGCAGTGATGGTTACATCATTGTACTGAGCTGTCCTCGGTGCACTGAACTGAACACTTACAAATGGTATGAATGGTAAATTTCACGTTACGCATACTATACTGTTGTCTAGTGACTAAGTGGTGTCCAGCTCTTTTGCATCCTCATATACTGTAGCCTGCCAGGCTCCTCTGTCCATAGGATCTTCCAGGCAAGAATAGTGGAGTGGGTCCCCATTTCCTTTTCCAGAGGATCTTCCTGACCCAAGGATCGTATTCATGTCTCCTGCTTTGGTAGACAAGTTCTTTATCACTGAGCCACTTGGGAGGCCCATGCATACTATATTACAATTCAAAAAATAAATTTATAAAAAAGTATATTGTAAGAATTCTGCTTTCCAAACGGCAATGTGGAGAGCTCTACAGACCCATTTCTTAGTGAAACAAGCCTAACTGATGAAAATTATAAAATTGTAAAGTCTCTAAAACGTGTCCTAAAGGCATACAGCAAGTGAAGAAAATTTAAGAAAAATCTACCAAAATTCAGCAAGAACAGCAAGAGTCTATGGCATGTGAACCACAGATCTCTTCCTATGTCCTCATTTCCAGCTCAGCATGCAGAAATCTAACCCCAGATGAGTTCAGCTAAAACACAGAGAAATGAAGAGTGCTTTGGAAGTATGCAGAACAGCACCAAGTGTCCCAGAATACACACAATGAGAGCCCCAGAAGAAGAAAAAAGACAGGAGAGAGCAGGAAAAGGTTCAAAGAAATAATGGCAGAAAAGTTTCCAAATTTAATGAAAAAATGTGAATCTGTTCATTCAGAAATCTTCATAAACTCCATGAAGGATCAATGCAGAGAGGGCCACTCCCAGGTACAGTGTATTAAAAATGCTGGAAAAGACAGAGAGATTCTCTTCAAAGCAGCAATTGAAAAACAGCTTATCACAAGGAAATCTCATAAAGATTAACAGCTACTTCTCATCAGAAACAACGGAAGTCAGAAGGCAGTGGGAAGACACATCCAAAGCGCTCAAAACCCCTCCTAACAAAAAAAAAATCCAAACCGTACCAAGCGACAATCCTATACACAGCAAAACTAGCCTCCAAACACGAAAGCAGAGTAACATCATTCCTAGATAAACAGAAACTGAGCGACTTCACTGCTAGTAGATCTGCCTTTCGAGAAAGAAGTTCTTCAGACTGAAAGCAAGTGATCCAGGCAGTAATTCTAACCTATATGAAAAAACAAAAAGCACCAGCAACGTATATATAATTATGAAAGATACTGTAAAAGCATTTTTCTTCTTTGTTCTCTTTTTTAAAAACTAATTTCAAAAACAATTTTATGAAACAAATGTATATAATTGTTATTGTTGGGCCAAAAACATATAGAAATACAGTCTATTTCCCAATAATAGCACAAAGGAGGGGTGTGACCAAGGCTACATCAAAGTAAGAAAACGAGGTGTGTGCGTGCTAAGTCGCTTTAGTCATGTCCAACTGTTTGTGACCCCATGGACTATAGCCCACTGGGCTCTCCATAGGATTCTCCAGGCAAGAATACTAGAGTGTGTTGCCATGCCCTCCTCCAGGGGATCTTCCCCACCCAGGAACGGAATCTGTGTCTTTTATGTCTCCTGCATCAGCAGGCAAGTTCTTTACCACCAGCATCACCAGGAAAGTGAAAGTCACTCAGTTATGTCCAACTCTACACAACCCCACAGACTGCAGCATGCCAGGTTCCTTTGTCCATTGGGATTCTCCAGGCCAGAATACTGGGGTGGGTTACCATTTCCTTCTCCAGGGGATCTTCCTGACCCAAGGATTAAAGCCACATGTCCCACACTTCAGGCAACGCCTTACCACTTGGGAAAACCCAAGGAAACGACACCAGATGGCAACTCAAATCCACAAAAACAAGTTGAGAGAATCAGGAATGATAAGATGGAAGATGATATAAATACAAACTTGGTCTTCTTTCTTTCTTTTTTTTTTTATTTTTTTTTTGAGTTTAATTATTTATTTATTTATTTATTTATTTATTTATTTATTTTTATCACAACCATAGTGTATCTTTTTTTTTTTTTCATGTATTCCCCATCCCGGTCCCCCCTCCCACCTCCCTCTCCACCCAATCCCTCTGGGTCTTCCCAGTGCACCAGGCCCGAGCACTTGTCTCATGCACCCAACCTGGGCTGGTGATCTGTTTCACCCTAGATAATATACGTGTTTCAATGCTGTTCTCTTGAAACATCCCACCCTCGCCTTCTCCCAGAGTCCACAAGTCTGTTCTATACATAGGAGTCTCTTTTTCTGTTTTGCACATAGGGTTATCGTTACCATCTTTCTAAATTCCATATATATGTGTTAGTATACTGTAATGGTCTTTATCTTTCTGGCTTACTTCGCTCTGTATAATGGGCTCCAGTTTCATCCATCTCATTAGAACTGATTCAAATGAATTCTTTTTAATGGCTGAGTAATATTCCATGGTGTATATGTACCACAGCTTCCTCATCCATTGGTCTGCTGATGGGCATCTAGGTTGCTTCCATGTCCTGGCTATTATAAGTCTTCTTTCTTTCATCAGCTTCTTTAAGTATATACAGCTATATACATTAATAACTATAACCATGTATTGTTGGGGTTGTGATATCCATAAATATAATACATATAAGAATAATTGTACAAAAAGGAGGAAATATGGCATTTCATGATGATATGCCTTGAAAGGTGTCTGCGTGTGTGCATAACACCTCAGACCTTTCACAGTTTTAGAGTCAACCTTCCATAAACCCCTTCCATACACAAATCTAAGATGTAGTGTAGAGACTTTCTCCAAAGACTGTGTGAGACAGGACCTGCCTTCTCCAGCCCTCCTAATCTGGTGTGGCCAAGCTCCTGCTGAAGAATGAGCCCTGAGTACAGTTCTCTTCTCCCTTACCTAAGAGACAAGAACATCTCTCACCTTGGACGTGGCATGCCATCATTCCCGTCGGCTAAGACAGAAGAGTCTACCCTGACCTTGGAAGTCACCTCCTGAAGATGGTAGAGCCGCTGTCAGCCAGAGTGCCCTAAGGACATACATGTAGAGGAGAGTCACCTGCCAACCCAGAACACGTGCCGATGTATGACCTGAATGAAAATCACTCACCATGTTTTCCTGGGTACATGTTTTGCTATAGCAGGTACAAAAAAAGAGAAAGTATTAGTTGCACAGTTGTGTTCCATTCATTGGCACTCCATGGACTGTAGCCCACCAGGCTCCTCTGTCCATGGAACTCTCCAGGCAAGAATACTGGTGTGGGTAGCTATTCCCTTCTCCAGCGGATCTTACCAATCCAGGGATCAAACCCGGGTCTCCTGCATTGGCAGGCAGATTTCTTTACTAACCAGGGAAGCCCCACAGCAGGACCCAAGCTAATATAGCAGCCTCTAGAATCCCAAAGCCTGCTGTTCGGCCTTCTTCTGACAGTCTCTCACCCCTGTGTGCAGTTCAAGGAGACAAATCCCTCACCTAAATCTGTGACTCCCTGGGTTCGTTAATTAGCAGGGAGATTCACCTCCGAAGCCAGGAGAAATTGAAGCAGCTATTCAACAGGAAGAGGACCTGGCTGGCTGGCATACTTTCAATATTCTGTTACAGCATCACATATACCTACGAAGGAAGAATACGTTCCTCATATCTGTAACCTTATTATCTGTTCTCCCACAGAACTAAGAGTTAGGAACTGTCACTTTTACTGTGATAATAAGGCTACAGTTAATTTTTTAAGCAAATCTACTTTGTTAAGTAAATATTGATGCTAGTTCCCAGTATTTCTTCTGTTACTGTTTTATTTAATTCTGTGCATCCATGGGCAGACTTGCACAAAGCTAGTGGAACTAATTCCTATGCCACCTGGACACTTAGCAAGTTTCCCTTGGCAAGAAGTCCTAATGTTCATTTTTCTACCATCAAAAAGTAAAAGAATCTCCAATTTGCCCACTAGCATTTGCACATGCCCAAAGGCATTTTGGGAGAAGGCAATGGCACCCCACTCCAGTACTCTTGCCTGGAGAATCCCATGGATGGAGAAGCCTGGTAGACTGCAGTCCATGGGGTCGCGAAGAGTCAGACACGACTGAGCGACTTTGCTTTCACTTTTCACTTTCATGCATTGGAGAAGGAAACGGCAACCCACTCCAGTGTTCTTGCCTGGAGAATCCCAGGGACGGGGGAGCCTGGTGGGCTGCTGTCTCTGGGGTTGCACAGAGTCAGACACAACTGAAGCGACTTAGCAGCAGCAGCAGCAAAGGCATTTTGAGGGCTTCCCTGGTGGTGATAGTGGTAAAGAATCTACCTGTCAATGCAGAAGACATAGGAGATATAGGTTCAATCCCTGGGTCTGGAAGATTCCCTGGAGGAGGAAATGGCAACCCACTTCCCATATTCTTGCCTGGAGAATCCCATGGACAGAGGAGCCTAGAGGGCTACAGTCCATGAGGTCGCAAAGAGTCAGACACAACTAAGCATGCACCTAAACACACACACACACAGGCATTTTGAAACCATCCAGGATTTTCATGGAGGACTATTTTTAAAATATCCAAGCACAGACAAAAAGTGGAGGTGCTTTCAAATATGTATTCTTATTACTAGAAAGTTCCCAAGATTGGTAAAATAATGTTAAAGTCCTAAAATTCCTTTTATTTGTTTATGGACCAAAAAAAGCCTTAGATAGTCAGAACCCAACATAAAGTCATATGCAACACAAATGTATACGGCTGAGCCCTTTGCTGCTCACCTGAAACTATCACAACACTGTTAATCTGCTAACAGACAGTCAAGAGATTCTCTCAGCTGTGTTTGACTCCCTGCAACCTCACAGACTGTAGCCGGCCAGGCTCCTCTGTCCATGGATTCTCCAGGCAAGAATACTGGAGTGGGTTGCCATTCCCTTCTCGAGGGGATCTTCCTGACTCAGGGATCGAACCTGGGTCGCCCACATTGCAGGCAGAATCTTTACAATCTGAGCCACCAGGGAACCCCAATACAAAATAAGATTTTTTTCAAAAGCCACATGCAACCATATTTCTTAATATTAATATTCTGTGAATAGGATGACATTAGAGAGGGATTAGTTCCTGCTAGATTCACATTTTTACATAAACGAATGCCTGACTCCATAATTTCACAGCAGAGCTTTATGGCTGCAAATCAAAAACACAGCAAAGATCCATCTTTCCTCCTCTTCCTGTGTGCCCTAAACAAACAGGAAATTTGAATCAGGAATTCGTTATCACAGACGGTAGAATTCCATCAAATATCTGTGACACCAAGTATGTCAAAATTATGAAGGTAAACCAAATTCTCAATTTACCAGTTTCAGGCAATAATCTAAAAATACAATTCAAGTTCTGAAAACTTAAACATATTCAACGCCTTTGAGCAAAAGGCATTTTCTAATGCTCATGTGTGAAGGAGGCACATTTTGCTTTTTAGACAAAATTTTAGACTGAAATTCATAAATAATGGGGACTGTCAGTGAAAGCCAGAGAGTCATCTTTCCTTTCATCTAAACAAAAAGCCCTGGGAATGAGCCTCAGAAGAAAAATCCTCGAAGACGTGTGGAGAAGCCCAAGAAAATATATCTGTGCATCTCTATAAATATAGTTAAATCTACCTACAGCTATTGCATAAGCTGTACATTATATCACACTGGAGACTTTTTAAGAGGTGATTTTTCACATGCATATAAGTTTAAAACAAGACATTTTCTGTATTCAATAAGTTACTAGCCTCTGAGACCCATAAGAGAAATTCTGAATTGACAATTTTCCTCCAGAAGAGGTATGAAAGAAGAACCCTGGCAAGCAATAATTTAATAATTTTCTCTTCTGTGTAACATTCAATAAATCCAGTTACTTTGTCTAACCAAGATCTATAAGCACAATAAAGGTAAATGATATTGTATCCACTGGACACTTGTTACATCTATCCTGGCTAAAAACAAAACTCAATCTAGTTCCCACAACAAATGAAGAATAATTGGGAAAGGCATGCATCTTAAAGCTTTGTTGGTTTTCTTTTTAAGACTCAGGTTTTGGCCATGCTGGGTCTTCACAGCTTCATGGCTGCATGCAGGCTTTTCACTAGTTGCAGCAAGTGGGGGCTGCTGTCTGTAGTTGCAGGGCTGGGGTGTCTGATTGCAGCAGCTTCTCTAGTTGTGGATCACAGGCTCTAGGGTGCCTGTGATTCAGCAGCTGCAGCGTGTGGACTCACTAGTTTTGGCCCCTGGGCTCTAGAGCACAGACTTGATAGCTGCAGTACACAGGCTCAGCTGCTCTGCGCCATATGGCTTCTTCCCGGACCAGGGGTCAAACCAGTGTCTCCTGCATTGGCAAGCAGGTTCTTAACCACTGAGCCACCAGGAGGCCCTAAGATTTTTTTTTTTTTTTTGACACAAACCATTTTTAAGGCTTTATTTAATTTGCTACAATATTGCTTTTATTTTTCACATTTTGGTTTCTTAGCCAAGAGGCATGTGGGATCTTAGCTTCCTGACCAGGGATCGAACCTATATCCCCTGCACTGGAAGGCTAAGTCTCAACCACTGGACTTCCAGGGAAGTCCCCGCTTTGTTGGTTTTTATTGTAGGGATTAAAGGAAATTATGCATAGGAAATAATTTTTATAATGTTTATCAACACTAACATTTTTCTTTTAAAATCTAGATTTGGTCTGAAATGTAATACGTGAAGTGCAGGAACTGTAGAGATAGGCTTACTGGTAGTTAGTCACACCAGAAACCCACTGTTAAGTTAAAAATTAAGCACGAGAAGAGAAAATTGAAAACAAATAAATATATAGTATTTATAGGTTCAAGTATGAGAGCTTTTGTTGTTGTTGTTTTTAGTCAGTAAGTCGTGTCAGACTCTTTTGTGATTCCATGGTCTGTAGCCCGCCAGTTCATGGAATGTCCACAGGATTCTCCAGGCAAGAATACTGGAGTGGGTTGCCATTTCCTTCTCCAGGGGATCTTCCCAACCCAGGGACTGAACTCTCATTCCTGCATTAGCAGTTGGATTCTTTACCACTGAGCCATGAGAGGCTAAAGTTGAATGATTTTGTAACTGGGGCTGCATTGCTAATCATCAAAATCTTCACCATGATATTCAGACAGGATCCTCTTAGCCCAGAGGTCTCTATATAACAAGATATTAGAGTCGTTCTACAACCTTATGATGTTATGAAAAGATTTGACAAGAATGACATAACCCTCACTCTGAAGTGAGAATTCTGTACACTTCCTATTAATCTGAGCATCAGTACATACAACTAAGAAGAAGGTTTAGTGAAGTCCTGTTATCCAACCGCTACTTACCCACACTGAAAACTCTAGAATGGGTTTTCTGTTTATTTGACCCAACATCTATAAAAAATTACCACTAAAATACTTAATAGCAAAAGACTGAAGACTTTCCCCCTTTTTAGGAACCAGGCAAAGATGTCCTCTTTCACCACATCTGCTCATTCTGCTGGATGTCTTGTGTGTGCTGAGTCATTCAGTCGTGTCTGACTCTTTGCGACCCCATGGGCTGTAGCCCACCAGGTTCCTCTGTCCACGGGATTTTCTAGGCTTTCTGCTCCAAGTCTGGCCAACATTTTAGCTAATAAGAAAGTGCACTCTAAGTTGGTATTGTCTGTCATTCTTGCAAATAAAAACTTCTCTATCAGCGGGTTTTCCCAATGGCCCTAGACATTTTGGTCAGACTTCAAGCACTGTAATAACAAGAACTATAATACACAAGTAGTTTGTACTTGGAACCCCAGGCCCAATATTCAAATCACCTTTCCATGAAAACCTGGAAATCATGTTTATCTCACTGTAGCCTTTGAGAGGAAAATAACCTGTGACTCTGTACAGACAAAAAATCTTATTTTCTGCACTTTATTTCAACTGCAGGGAAATTGGTATCTTCATACAGTCAATTACAGAC